AAAAAAAAAAAAAAAAAAAAAAGCCTTCTCAGGTTTAGCCACAGTTAATTTTAGAAAGCTGGCTATGAATCAGATGAAATTAAGCAACGTGCTGGAAGAACCCCTTGTTCCCATGCCTCCTCTAAACTCTCTGGCAATAATGAAAGCAGAGATCTTGTGTTGTCAGTTCAGCACCAACACTGTCAAAAGCTACTGGTACCAAGGACATGTAAATGACTGCCCAATATCTTCCAGCTGAAGTATTCAAATGAAAGATGAAAAACTGGGGCCAAAATTTACTTTCAAATGGAAAAAATCTGCAAATTTTTAATGAGTATAATTATTGTTAAATGGGTTATAAGTATATTATAGTTAAAACAAGTTTTAAAAGGGATTAGAAAATGATATTCAGGGATATTCATCTAATGGATAACAGAAAGACTAGTCAGGGGATCATACCAATAGATGATATAATTTGAATGAAATTGTTGAGGCCCAAAGAAAACCAACTTCTTCTTTAGGTTATAGCTGAAGTCATTCTAAATAGGACTTTTATTAATTATTATTATTATTATTATTATTATTATTGAGACAGAGTCTCGCTCTGTCACCCAGGCTGGAGTTCAATGGCCCAATCTCGGCTCACTGCAATCTCCACCTCCCTGCAATCTCTGCCTCCCAGGTCCAAGCAATTCTCCTACCTCAGCCTCCCAAGTAGATGGGACTACAGGAGTGTGCCACCATGCCTAGCTGATTTTTTGTATTTTTAGTAGAGACGGGGTTTCACTGTGTTAGCCAGGATGGTCTTGAACTCCTGACCTCATGATCTGCCCACCTCGGCCTCCCAAAGTGTTGGGATTACAGGCATAAGCCACCGTGCCTGGCCTATTTCTTTCTTTTTCTTTCTTTCTTTTTTTTTTTTAAAGGACAGCAAAGTTGAAGACTACATGATTTCTTGACTCAGCATAAAGCTGCAATAATCAGTGCAGTATGATATGCTGTCAGCAGAGAAAACAGATCAAGAGAACAGAATGAGTCCAGAAACAGACCCACGTGTATGTGGTCAAAGATGCCAGGTAAGTCCATGGGAACAGTATACTCTTCTAATAGTATTGAACAACAAAATAATCACATGCAAAAAAAATGAACCTCAATCTTGGCCTCACACTGCATAGAAAAAACAACTTGAAATGGATCATAGACTTAAATGTGAAAGCTAAAACTATAAGTCCTTTAGGACAAAACATCAAAGAAAGTCTTCACAATTTTTGAGTGGGTAAATATTTCTTAGACACATAAAGCATTAGCCACATAAATTTTTTTTCAATAAATTAGACTTTATCAGGATTAAGATCTTTTGCTCTTAATAAGATGCCATTAATAAAATGAAAAAGTGGCCGGGCATGGTGGCTCACACTTGTAATCCCAGCACTTTGGGAGGCTGAGGTGGGCTGATCACAATGTCAGGAGTTCTAGACCAGCCTGGCCAATATGATGAAACCCTGTCTCTACCAAAAACATAAAAATTAGCCAGGCATGGTGGAGGGTGCCTGTAATTCCAGCTACTCAGGAGACTGAGGCAGGAGAATCGTTTGAACCTGAGAGGCGGAGGTCGCAGTGAACCGAGATCACGCCACTGCACTCCAGCCTAGGTGACAGAGCGAGACTCTGTCTCAAAAAAAAAAAAAAAAAAAAAAAGTTAATTTTTGAAAAATAATAAAGTGAAGAAAACATTAAATGAAAGAGACTTTGGGCATTCGTAAAGAGGTTTATGAAGTGATTGTAGTATTATTAAGGCCAACTTATAAAGTATTTTGTCATTGTAAACAGAATAGCAAGGAACCTTAGGGAATGGCAATAGGTTAGCTCATGGGAATTGGCATTTTATTTCAACAAGAGAATTACTGACAATATTATGTTTATGAGACAAAAACAATATGATGTAATGGTTAAGATTTCAGCTCATGGAGTCATACTGAGCCGAATTCAAATTACTACAGTGAGTATCCCTCATCCAAAATGCTTAGGACTAGAAATGTTTTGGATTTAGGATTTTTTCACATTGTGGAATATTTGCATACATATCATGAGATATCTTGGGAACGAGACCCATGTCTAAACATGAAATTCATTTATGTGTCATACACACTATACTAAGGAAAATATTAAAGAAGATCTAAATAAATGGAGGTAACTTTATTTATCCCTTGGGGATACTGAAACAGCTGTTGTGCACCTGCATTTTGACTGTGACCCATTACATGTAATCAGGTGTGGAATTTTCTACTTGTGGTATCGTGGGGCTTTCACAAAGTTTCATATTTTGGCACATTTTAGATTTTGAATTTTTGGATTGGGGTGCTCAAACTGTTTCTCTATATCCTTGAACAAATCGCTAAACATTAATATAACCATTCACTTTTCTGTGGAATCAGGATGGCAACATCATCTATGATATAGGGTTGTTTTGAAAAAGTACTTAGTGTTTTGCATGACATATAAGAGCTTAATAAATGTTGGCCATTATTCTTAAGTTATAGCCATGGCTCTCCCCAGTACCCCTGTGAGGTAAACAGGGATGATACTATAATCTCCAGTCACCACTGCAAATCAAGATAGAATGGTAAAGTATTATTACTCTCTTCAGCAGTATGAGCCCTTTTATAGCAGAGCCGGAACCAGTCCCTAGAGCTCCAGAATTCTATTTCAATACTCTTGGCACTACACCATTCTTTATTTCCATTTGCTATAAAATATCAGGGCACAAGAAAATGGACAGGGCCACTGAGGCAGACATCCTATGGTTATAGCACAGTAAAGATTTAATCTAAAGGCCAGGCAGGTTCCAGGAAGTGCTGAAAGCTTATTCCAGAGTGGTGCCATTCAGTGTGTGGTCCACAAGCTGAACTGTTTCTGGTTCACAGAGAAATAAGAAGAAAAATTGAGAATATGTGTTTAGAAACTTTTATAGCAATTTGACACAGTGATTTTATTCTTTTCCTTTTTCTTTTTAAGAGATGGGGTCTCACTATGTTGCCTAGGATGGAGTGCAGTGGCTACTCACAGACACAGTCCCACTACTGATCAGCACCGGAGTTTTGACCTGCTCCATTTCTGACCTGGGCCAGTTCACCCCTTTTTAGGCAACCTGTGGTCCCCTACTCCTGGGAGGTGGGAGGTCATCATATTAACTCAGAATTTAACATAGAGACCCAATCAGCATAGAGCACTATTGCCCAGAACTCCTGGACTCAAGTGATCCTCCTGCCTCAGCCTCCTGAATAGCTGGGTCTACAGGAACAGACCAGCATGCTTGACAGACAACATTATGATTTTTATATCTGTTGAATTTAAAAATAAAAATAGTGTGTGTATTGTCTGTGTTATATTTTCCCATTTATTTTTCCAGAAATTCAATTTTATTTTATTTTATAAAAGTGTCAGTCTGTGACAGATTTGAAGATAAACTGGTCAAGGGAAAATACACCCTTGAGTCTTGAGAATGAATAGTCAAGAGTGGAGAAAAGAAGGTGGAGGAAAGCGTGACAGTTCTTGAAAACTAGGCAGTTTCTTTACAGAATAGATAAGGAATGGATAGGACAATTTGAGTTATTCACTGAATTACCAAATTACTACTCAAACTTAATTTATTCAAGACAGATCTAAAAAGAGACATCCCGGTGTGGGGGAAGGTAGTAAGATTAGTAAGAACTGCAATGACTTCCGTTTCCTGCTTTTAGTCATCTCAGCTCTACAGCTACTGTTCTTTTTTAAATTATTATTATTTTTTCATTTTGGGATCTGTCAGTGTTAGAATCTACAGCTACAGTTCTCCTCTCCAAGTTCCCCCTCCTTTCCAAGGACCCTGGTGATTCCCATCATAGGAAGACTGGCTTAGCCCATACTGGCCAGAGAGAATCCCAAAATTTTGGAGACTTACTACTGGAAAAGTCCTCTAGAGGTCTTTTTGATCCAGATGGGCAAAATGAGAATCAGAGAAGAAAAGAGACTTGTCTAAGGTCACCTGGTCTGTTACCAGCAGATACCAAGCTTTTACACCTTGGTAGCATGGGTAAATGAGAGATGAGTAAGTGGTTTTGTTTGTTTGTTTGTTTGTTTTGTCAATATATCCATCATTTACTCTATCTGATAGATTCAGCTAGGTTAACAAGGAAGTGTGCAGGGTCACCATGTTGTACAACTCCAGGGAGCACCAATCAGTGATTTGTATACAGGAGTTGTACGGTAACAGTCCAGGTAAACACACTTAGGAAAAAAGAGGGACGTTGTTTGTTAGATTTTAGAAAGGAAATCTGATTAAACTAACCTATATTAACAGGAAACAAAACTAACATCACTGAGCTGCTCAGAAGTGCTAAGTACTGCACTAGACGTTGGCTATCCCATTGAATTCTAACTATACATCTTCAGGGTGGCTATTTTTTTTTCTTTTTAGTTATTTCATTTTTTTATTATGGTGGCTATTTTTTGCAAGTCATCACAGCAGAGTGTTGGAAAAAGTTTTCAATTAGCAGTAATCACACCTCAGATAAACCTCATTGGCTATGATACCACCACTGTGCAAGCTAGGGTTGCTATTCTTATCCCCGTTTGATAAATAAGCTGAGGTTCAAAAAAGTTATGTGACCAGGTTCACTTCGCTAAGAGTGGCAGAGTTAGGAATTGAATCTAAACCTATCATCTGATATCCAAATTCAAGCTCTTTCCATAAGATTATGGCAGAAATTTAGGAGTCTTCCTTAAAATATTCTACTCCTACCTCCTATATATGAAACAGGCACTGGGAGAAAAAGGTACGAAGTGTGTATCCCTATTTGAACAGTTCCCAGAATACTAGTGTTGAGTGGCCTTTATTCAGAAAAGCAAGAGAGTCTTGACTTTTTTCTTTTTTTTGATCTGAGACTATATAGGAGTATCACAGAAGCTTCCTGAATGACCCTGTTCCATTGTTTCAATCTGTTTCCAGAATTGCATGGTTTAAGAATAATATTATAGCTACTCAATTGAATTTATTTATTTATTTATTCATTCTTTTTTTTTTTTTTTGAGACCGAGTGTCACTCTATTGCCTAGGCTGGAGTGTACTGGCACAGTCTCTACTAACCGCAACCTGCACCTCTCGGGTTCAAGTGATTCTCACGCTTTAGCCTCCAAAGGAGCTGGGACTACAGGTGCCCGCCACCACGCCCGGCTAATTTTTGTGTTTTTAGTAGAGACAGGGTTACATCATGTTGGCCAGGCCGGTCTCCAACTCCTGACCTCAAGTGATCCACCTTCCTCGGCCTCCCAAAGCCCTGGGATTACAGGTGTGAGCCACCGTGCCTAGCCAAAACCATTTATTTCTGATTAAACACTGTGGTACTGTCATCCAATTGTATGTGCCAGGCTTTCACAGTGTGCTGCTTGTACAATGTGGCCACCCACTGACACTTTTTAAAATCTAGAGGTAAAAACACTGCTGTTAGGGTACAGTGGGAGGAGTTTAAAATGGAGCTTAAAACAGTATTAATCTTGCCATTTTGGGCGTAGTTGTTGAATTTTTTGCTCTTTATACTATTTATTATGTCTACCTTGCTACTAATGTTTTACATTCTGATATTACCCAAAGAAGATGGTTCTGGTTAGATGATCCTAAATAATCCATGGAAGAGAGGAGGGGATCTCTCAGCCTGAATATGTGACACAGCCCACAGAAATCCCTGAATAGTCTGAAAGTTCCTTTTATCTTCTGATATCAGAGGGCTTTGTTTGTTTGTTTCTGGTAAAATGCATATGGGGCTGTAATCTTAAAGATCCCTGAACATCACTGCCAAAATAGCTTTTATCAACAGGTTTTCCAACCATTCATGGCTTCCAACTTCTGAAAAATAGCTAAATACAAATTTGTATTTTAAAAGTTATTTGGGCCAGGTATGGGAGCTGAAGTCTCCTCTTTTTATAGCATTTATTCTGAGTTCTTCACCTTGACATTATACTTAATTGTTCTTAGCCCATCTGAAGGAAGTCACCCTGAATTCTAAACACACATTTATATTTATCTAAAGAGATAGATAGGTGATAGATGATTGCCAGACAGGTAGATAGAGAGAACCTTAGTATTTGGGCCACTTCCTCTCTGAATCTCTCATGCCTTACTAAAGGAAGGGAGGCAGTTAATACAATAGACCCACTTGGGGAAATAGCAGAGTTGTTAGATAAAAAAGACAGATGATAGGGTTGAGGAGGATAAGAGGATATCTTATTGTAATACACAGTGACACACACTGGTACACACAGGAATAGACTCCAGAAAAAAACAAACCCAATAATACATAGACATGAACTTCCCCATCCTTTTCCTCCCTCACCTTCCCCCAAGTCTCTTAATTTTCTTTGAGCTCTCCCCTTAACCCCCTTCCTTTTCCCCAGTCCTTTTGGCACCTACTTGATGTGTTCTGTGCGTCCAGAGCCCTTGATGGTCTTGGCTCCCCACCGTTGTTCCTTCTCAGAGATGTCATTCTGCAAATGACAGCACTCAGTAATACATCATGGCAAGAAATGTGCCACACTGAAAAGGGCCACACAACTGACACATGCCTCCACATCCCCTGTGTCCACTGCTTTCTTCAGCTTCGGTCTTTATTCGCACCCCCTCTATGTTTATCCCATTCCAACCCCATGTAAGAACTAAACTGGTGAGGCCCAGTGCAGTGGCTCATGCCTGTAATCCTAGCACTTTAGGAGGCTGAGGCAGGTGGCTCTCTTGAGGTCAGGAGTGCTAGACCAGCCTGGCCAACATGGTGAAACTCCATTTCTACCAAAAAAATACAAAAATTAGCCAGGTGTGGTGGCATGTTCCTGTAGTCCCAGCTACAGGGACTACTCAGAAGGCTGAGGCAGGAGAATCGCTTGAACCTGGGAGGCAGAGGTTGCAGTGAGCTGAGATAGCACAACTGCACTCCAGCCTGGGCGACAGAGTGAGACTCTGTGTCAAAACAAACAAACAAACAAAAAAACACAAAGAATTAAATTAGTGAGTTCTGAAACCTCCATTCCTCCTCTGCATACTTCATGCCTACCCCCCATCTGGTCTCCTACAACTTTTCAATTCCCCCAATTACACATGTCCAGCTTGGATCCTGGATCATGGGCCAGGGAAGACCCAGGTTCACCTGCTTCTCACCTTCAGTATAGCCTGTCATGGCCTGTCAGTCACACTGTCAAACTCCCCCACGCCTGTCTCCTTTCATCCCTGATACCTGCTCTCGTGCATGCCCCATGCATGATAGCCAACTGTCCTACCAACCTGTCCCACTATGAGGGCTGTCTCAGTCCCAGAAGGCTCTTTTCTAAGTATCTTCAAAGGTCACAGAGTAGCCCAGATGCCCTCCCCTCCCCACCCTCTGCACTGTCCAAGCACAGCTGCTTTCAAACTCACCACAAAGTCAGGATCTGTGTCCCAATCATCACCCTGGGTCTCCACAGAAACAGACACATCATGCCCCACTACAGACTTCCACATCTGAGAGTGACAGGAGGTGGGAATAATTGGGACAAAAAGAATCAAGAGGAGGAAAAATAAGAATGCTGAAGTCAAAATATAGCAGCCCAATATTTCCTGCCATTTTTTTTTTCTTAGAAAAAAAATAGAAAATGAAGCAAAGCAAATGGGAGTTATAAGAAGGCTTTTCTGCTCAGTTACAAGAGGAAAGATGGGGCTTTAATCAAGTCAAATTGATGTGGCCTGGGCCTACCTGTGGCTAGAGAGAAGTCATCATGGGTGTGGGTAACACTAGGTAACCCACGAGTCAAAATTGCTGGAATTGTTCACTTGTGTCCTGAGGCCAGCCAGGCAGTGACTGGAGGTGGTCGGCAATGACAGGTGCTATAATATCCCTAGAATTATGGCCTCATTTCACTCAGGTTTCTATATATGATTCCTTTGTCACTGTTGAAATACAAATTGGTTCAGCTTCTGACAAAGTGAACATCTACATCCCTCTCTACAACCTATTTAACTATACTGAGAATTTTTCCAGCCACTGGTCCAAGTGCTGTCCCACCTCCACGCTTAGATTGGTCACCTCACAGCTGTGTAATGTCAGTAGGGACAGTCAGCTGAAATTTCCACCCTGAGCAACACATGGGAAAGTGTTATTTGCTGGGAATAAGTCATTTCTTACTCAATTTTTAAAAAATGGTTCAATTATATTTCTAAGGAAAAGTAGTTCAAAAAATAGTAGGTTTTCAAGTTGACTATTGCAGAAAAGAAAAAAATAATTTACAATAAACCTTATTTTGAACATTAAGAGGTATTCCATTTTTATCAATTAAATAAATGTTGCAGACATATTTAGAGAACACTAGTTTGGAGGGGTGTCAAACTGTTATTCTGCTAGGCCATCCCCAGTGTTCCAGTCAGTCTTCCAGACTGTGCAGAAGAAAGAGCGGCACAGTTGCTCTGCATCTGTGGACTTTGGTGTGAAGAAGTAACAATAGAAAACGCTCATCTGCTGTGGTGGCCACTGAGACTTCTTGGCCCTGGCACCACTTGCTAGCTGGCAACGCTTCCCTCCTCAGACACCTCATCCTATTGGAGACCTTCCCCATGCTCTGCATTGTCTCCTAAGACTCCCTTGACAACTACTACTTAGGGTTCTCCTGTCTCCACCTAGGCCTTCGGATTCTCCAGTTTTCTATTTCCACTTGAAAACACCATCTTCTCCATTGAGCAACCCCCTAACAACCAGCCCAGAGGAAGTCTGGGGTAAATTAGTTAAAGAGATGCTAAAGAGACACTGCAGAGATATTGACCGAGTCAGCCGTGAGTCACAGCTGAAAGCAGCTCAGCTTTCCCTGATGCGGTTGCGGACAGCTAAACAAGACTTAGAATCCTGCATCCTTACAATCCCTCTGCTTCTCATTCCCTGGCTCCTGGGCTGCTGTGCAACAAAAGGACTGTCACACAGAACACTGGAAAGGAGAAGTTTCTGAAATAGTCATGAGCAATAAGGAAGCAACGAGGACTGATGGTCCCATCCTCTTTCCTGCAGCTCCTCTGAGGCGTCAGCCTGATTCTCCCACTCACCCATTTTTGAAATAAAGAGAAGAGTTTCTGAAACAAACAATTTATCTTATATCCCTGACCTACTGACCAGAAACCAGAAAGGTAAGAAGTGCTATCTAGAGGTGGGAACCAGAGAGTAATCTTGTGAGGCCTCATTGCGATGCTGACCCACTGCATCAAAATACATGGACTGGGAGTCGGAAGCCCCAGCTGTCACCCTAGCTCTGTGACTAAGCCTGAGGGACCATCGCAAGGGCATCAATATAGAGTAGGTACTAATTTGGCAGCTACCAGATCGGGCGATTAATAAATACTAACTTTAATAATTTGTAAATCAGTGACTATCTCTGGTTTCTTCAGTAGAAAATAATGAAGGGCTTAACCTAGCTAATCTGTAAAGTCTCCTGGATTTCTGACATTCTGGGATTCTGGGATCTACAATCACAGAAACTAGCCTGGGCAGAACAATCATGCCTTCTCTCGGGCTCCATCAGCACTTGGTACCCAGCACTCGTACATCAGTGGCTACTTCCTGATCTGTTACATTTCCTATGTGGGTTTGTTTCCCTGTGAGATCATAATGCTCTTCAAGGGCAGACACTGTTTTCATCTTCTGTGGTCCTCTTCCCAACTCAGTACCTAGGGGAGACAGGCCTTAGAGTGGGTTGTAGACTGTCAGCAGAAATCAGGCAGTGCTTTACTTGGTCTTGGTGCTAGATGGCTCCTGAATCATTTGCCTTGTTTAAGCCCCTCCCTTCTGTTTCCATCTCCAGTTGCTGATTCGCTACAACCACTCACAATCAGGCCTTCTGGCCATAAAAGGATAAAAGCCTACTAGTGGTGACCTTACCCCTTACCAAGGACTAAGAGCCAGGTAGTTTCCTCCTCAACTCTTGCACTGTGTTTCCCGACCGTCCCATGGCTCAGAGTACCTACCTCCACCCGTGCAAGCCTCTGTTCTAAGTGTCCGGCTCCTCACGTCCACACCGACTCCCTCTCTGGCTGCTGCCACTTTGGAGAGAGAAACTGAGCTGCCACTTCAGTTCCGTATTCAGGTTTTTGTCATTTCCTGCCACCGCATCCTCACAGCTACTTCCTGAAGTTTGAGTCAGTTCCTTCTTCTTTAGACACTTAAGTTTAAAAAGGATTAAATGCTTCTGTGCCTGGTCTTTTGCAAAGTTTTGACAGTGAGTGTCATAAAGCAGTCATAGGAAATGCTGCTTTGACTCTGAGTTTGTAATCCAGTGAGAGAAACAAACATTCAACAAGAAAACACATTACAGAATGCTGTAGAATAGCACTGTCCTAAATAGAGGGACAGTTACATTTGAGACAGTAAAGGAATTCAGAAAACTTGGTATGGGCTGTAGTCATCAAGAAAGTCTTTATGGGAAAAGTGATTTATATGTGGATTTTGAAGCATGAGACTTAAACTCATTCCTACATTATCCACAACATTTAAAAGTAGGGTTTTCATATAGATGTTCAAATAAACATTGATCAATTGAAAACCGGAAGGGAATAACTCATGAGGGAAAAGGCAAGATATGGAGGGAGAAAGGTTCCTAGCTTGTTTGAGGCAGTGTGGAGTCTGAGCTAACAAACAAGACTCCAGATAGTAGGAAAAACTCTGAAAGAACCAGGTGCTGGTCAACGGATGGAAGGTCTTTGTGGTATCCTGTTTTACTGAAGGTCAAGACTTGCCGCCCCTCCCTTCCCTCTTGAAGTCAGACTCGCTCCGGTTACTTGTTTCAGCCAGTGACAGATACCACTTTCTAGCGGAGAACTTATAAACACTGCAAGCTTTGCCATGCTCTTTCACCAATGCCTAAGGCAACCTGCAATTCTCCAGAGCACCTCCTCCTGCACCCTGGGTCCCTGAGTGAGAAACAACACAAGTGGAGACCCATCCATCATGTGAGGGAATTGGAGTCTTTCCGTCTTTCAAAGTAGTCCTTTGTTTTGGCTACTGAGAATTTGAGAGTGTCTGTTATTTTATCTGACCTAGCCTCTCCTAATCTTGATTGTGGAGTTCTTAATTTGCTCACAATGGTGCATTCTCCAAGGAGTTTAAGCAGGAGTGGATGAAACTGGCCCATGATACAAGCACTTTTCTGCATTAGGAATATGAAGTTTGTCACTTCCCAATCTAAGGATTCTATACCTGGGGGAGCTTTATTTATCCCTCCTACTTTATTACCTATTAATCATGCTGGCACCAAAGTTATAGTAAGGAAGAGTACATTTGTAGAAGGGAAAATAGTCTTTTAAAATCACTTGGAATCCTTATGTAGTGTCAAAATAGGAATTAGACTAGATATTGTGACACACCATCCAGGTACATAGTTATCTACAGAAACCATAGAAATTCATTAGAGATGACACCAAGAAGCCCCATCTTTCCTTAGCAAATGTCACAAGTTCATTACTGATGAGGTAGTGAGGTATATCACACAGAAATAGAATGGGCCTTGAAGCCAGATAGACTTGGTTCAATTAAACCACTTACTGTACCTTGAGAAAGTAAGCTAGCTTTTCTCAAGCAGCAACTTAATATAAAAAACCATAATAATGCCTATTTAACCTGCTGCATGCTATTAAGCTTCTCTTCTCCCATTCCGACCCAGAGGGATCCCTAGGGGCCTAATGTTTTCAGTATGTGCCAGGCAAGAGTTTTCCCAGGACCATGCATGGATGTGCATCAATTTCATGCCATAAGGCCCAGCTTATTTGTTTCAGTATTAGGACAGAATTTCCTCATTGCATTCATCACCGGAGTCTAGCAGCTAAGGCTGAACCAATGCATGTAGCCATCACTGATATTGGTCAGTGAGAAGAAGGCCTGAATATGCAGAGCTTTCTATCCCTGTAACCATTCCTGGCCACCTCCATCCCTACTTTCCCTTACCCATCTTCCACCCCACAGCATGCAAACACAGGTACCTAAGCAACTGTGCACATATTCATTCACACACACACACACACACACACTCTCTCTCTCTCTCTCTCTCTCTCTCTCTCTCTCTCTCTTCATTCTGAAAATAATTTTATTATTTTACAGTTGTTCAGGAAAGTTCCCAGGGTGTTATGACCAAGATTTAATCACCACAGACAATTTAAAGCAGATCAGTCAGCCCACTGGTCTCTCTTCCTTAGGGAGAGAATAGGCAGTGAACACATCACATACACAATGAGAAAATAACCAACTGATAGGACGGGGGAGAGGGGGGAGGCAGGGAATAGGCACAAATGGAATTCAATCCTGGCTGTCCTTCTTGGGTCTATATTTAAACATTTTATCTTCTCTATATTCTCCTTCCATTACCACAGAAGGCAGAGACAATGGGGCTGAGAAACTGAAATAAATGTCACTAACAGCAAAGTAGTTTAGTGCTTCAAGAGGCCAGGAGTTGCAATGTGGTCAGATCAGTCAGACTCTTGGCTGACAGTCAATGCCTAATACCAGCTCTTGGTGGCACCTGGGCACTGTCTCAGGGCCCACATTCCAGGAATATCCAGATATTCCTGGAATGACAAGAATTGGAACCTGCTGTACATAGACAGTTCTCACTGCCTTTTGGTGAAAGAAAAGATGTGGACCACTCAATACCTTAGTGTACATGTGATTAACGGCAAAAGCAAGGGGATTCTGTCCTTACACTCCAGGACCAGAAATTCTCCCTCCAATTATGTCTGAAATTGGCAGGGAAGATAATGCTGTCCTCCCCTGTGATCTAATAGCTAAAACCCCTGGAGATTTCCTTCAGCTCTCACCCTATTCTGCGAGAGACCTAAATCAGATGTTCTATGAGGTGGTGTGTTCATTTCCCTGGACTTTGTCTATGGAAAAGCCACCTTCCCCCTGAAACAGGAGAAAATACATGCAAACAAGGCAAAGAAAGTTATCAATCAAAATGATACTGGACTTCATATTATTAGGTTTATTGAAACCATCTTCTTGGCTTGGCTGAAAGACATTCCTCAGTATCTTTTACAGGACCACAAAAGATCAGGGTCCTGCAAAATCTCAAATATTAGGCTCAACAAACCAACTGTGATTCCCAGATTAAGCAGAAGTGTTCAGGCCCAGGGCAGTAGAAGAAAGCAGACTTGCCAGTCCCTGCAGTTCCAACCTGTCCTTGTATCCACCTCTGTTTTTGCAGGCACTTTCCGTGGAGAGTTGGAGAGAAGACCTGTAAACAGGAAGACTGTTCCACTGGAATTGATAATTCTGATGTTAAGAGGTGAGAGAATTCCAAGTTCTGAGGGGAGTAGTCCAAAGAGTAACAACTAAGTCTATAGATGGCCTGTAAAACACAGAATGAGCAGGACGTGAATCATTAGAAAGTAGATGGCTGCTAGTAGTGGCACTCGGGTCCGGGAATGACAGAGTGAACGCAGGACTCGCTTCCATCCAACACCACTTCGGGTCTGAAAGAAAAATGTGAAAGTCAGAGAGTTTTCACCCTATAGGGCTATGTCGCTTTCCCTCCTAGTAATCTTGCACTTAAGCAAAGCTGATCCAACCACTATAGAAAGGGGTATCCTGAAAGGAAAGTTGCCTCAGAATCAACAACTTGGCAAATTCCACCAGGTTCTTCTAATCTTCTACACCCTTCCAGCCTGAGACCCATCAGCTGCTCAGTGGCAGGACTTCCACATTCCCTCTCCTCGGCTCCTTACCCCCAATATAGCCAGCCCTGTCTGACAGTAGAACATCCTCTCTTTATCATTCTTCCTTCTTACCCTTCGACAACTGTTGCTTGTAAGATCTATTAACAGTGCCTGCTCCTGAGTGCCACAGGAGCCAATGATAGGAGTCCGGGCAGAGTCCCATTCACTGTGTTCTAACCTGAGTTGAGGGAAAAAAAAGAGACATGACATTGGTTCATAGCACAAGATGCTGATCAGGCCAAGTCTTCCCAGTCTTCCTGGCACACAATGCAGCACAGGAGGAGACCTGCAGCAAAGGTTGCTCCCACAGACCCAACCCATGCAAGGGGGGTACCAGCAGACAGGTTTCCTTCAGGAGCAGTAAAAGGTGAAAGTAACTACTAGGAATTGACTGTCTACTTACTATGTATCAGGCTCTGGGTTGGGTGCTTTATATACATTTAATTCTCAGGTTTTTGGTCTTACTATCTTCAAAGTGCTACGGTTTAAAAAGGTTAAATTACTTGTCCATGGTGGCACAGCCAGTAAGCAACAGAGCCAGAATTCAATACCCAACTTTGTCTTTTAAGCCTCACACTCTTCTTTCCACACCACACCTGACTTGGAGAAACTCATAAATATTTTTTCTTTTATTAAAGGCTAATAGGCAAAGGCAAGGAAGATTTCTGTGGGGTTTTAAAAAATAAATTAAACTAAAAAAATTAAATTGAACTGGCAGTCTCTATTGCCTTCTGACTTACTTTTTGCTGATTTGCTCATTTAATACTGGAACTTCTCCATTTAATGAAGAAGCTGCCATTACTCAATGGTTTTATCAAACAAAGGAGCTGCATGTAACACAGCACATTTGATGAAGCATTTGCCTATAGGGATGAACTTTTTCACTGGGGTAGGGAGGATGAAACTCTTTACTCCACTCTTCGTGTTTGCTCCTTATGAAAGCATATCTCCTTGTGAAAGGCTATCTTCGGCTCTCTGCAGGACACACTCTTCTCCAGGAAAGAAGAAATACCTTAATCCAATTTGTGAGTCTGCAAAGAGAAATTTAGCATGCAGAGCCTAGCTCCTTCTTTCCTGCTTCCCTCCTGAGAGCCAGGCTGACTAAAGAATACACCTTCTGTGTCTATTCCTCCATGCAATAAGCTTTTCAGAAGCAAACTTGATCTGGAACAGCATAGTCTGTTACTACGGAGATCAGTCTGTCAACATAGGCTAGGCTGAGGAAGAATGAGAAGTCTGTAGATATTGGTGAGGAAGGCAGTATTGACTGCCTTTAAATTGGAAGGCTGAGTTCCATCTGCTCTATAGAATACATGTGAGGCTCCAACATTACAATGGCAGTACCTGGACTAGGTAGGCAGCACTTAATTAGCTACCCCAATTTCCATTCTGCATCAGGGCTAAAGAGGGAATTATTCAGCAGCTAAACTTGAATTAATACAGCTTGCCCACAGGCTAAAGAGTCATCATCCCACACAATGCAGTCTCAGTTGGTTTGGGACAGGTTAGTTATGCATGAGGGAGATCAACCTGCCCATTGGCCAGGTTTCACCAGTCTAAACAATTCCACAGCAAGTGGAAGAGAAACAGTCATGGAGGCACAGGTCTGAAAATGCTTGGCAGAGATAGCAAGACACCACACAAAGCATTTGGCCCACCCTCGAAGCTGCGTATCAAGGCCTAAATAAATGATGAAAATTAAGAAGTTGTGAATACGTTGGATTGGAAAGAAAGGTATCTCAAGTAAGACCTGCTCATTGGGGCTGTCACCTCTGTCACATAAACTTTGCAAGACAGCATTAATATCAGAAATGTCACTCTCTGAGGAAAGTGATCATACACATAGGTGGCTTTCCCCCAAAATATAATAAAAGTGCCTGCTTTTAATGATATTTTCCATGGAAAGGGACTTCCAGCAGCAAAATACTTGTAGCAACTCTCTATCCTCTCATGCATAGTGATTCTTTTGACTGATGAATTGAGAATAAGGAACTAGGGATGTGTAGCTCTGCCCTTCCAAATTACACTTGGAGCAAACTGCTCATAGGAAGCATAATAGTTCACTCTGTTACTCCAGTGCTCTAGTTTGGCAAGACCAGGATTTTCTGGGAAGGAGATCTACTTGGCCCAACGTTGCCTGTGACTGAGAGGGGAAGTTCAGGGTTAGGAAGCACATCTGCCAACAAATAAAAAGCTACATTCTTTTTTTTTTTTTTTTTTT